AAATCTCATTCTGTATGGCATTTTTGGGAAGAGTAAGACCCGGCCATTTTGATCCAAGGGAGGGGGGGGGGGGGGCTCTACTTTATTTGTGTAACTTTAGATTCCCCATGAGCTAAGGATGCTACCATCTTAGTTTGGTTGAAACCTACGTTGTTGTTTAAAAGAAATCAAAAACAGCCAATTTAAGTCCTTGTAAATGGTAGATGGCACCATGCACTGCATCAGTTCTAGTCATGGAGAAAAGAGTTCTATACTCAGAGTTTTTTTACTTGGAGTATTCGAACCTCTCTATTTAGAAGATGAATGTTCTCTGGCTAATAGAGTAACTTCCCCTGTCAAGTTTTTCATATGCTTTGTGGCCTATAAATTGGTCACTCATTCTGAAGCTCTGCTTTTATAATTTGTATGGAATCATTGACAATTAATATAAAAGTGTAGGCTTTCCAATGTAAAGGTCACAATAAAAGGCTTTTTAAATTCCTATTTTGAAACAATCAAATTTCAAACAACTGCAATTCTGTAAAATGCATAGCAACGTGTGAATTTCATGGAATATTTCTTTTGAAAAGGATTTGAGCAAATATTTTAAAGTAGTGACAATGGTAATATATTACTATACTTAACTTGTTAGTACCTGTAACCTTAATTATTCTGACAGTTACACAGCCCCAAGGAAGGTCAGACCTTTAATTTGAGAACATTTGATCTTCAAACGCTAAGGAGGCTACCATTACAATTACATTGTAGGTTGAAGTTTGTTCAGTGTTTTGGGAAGAGATATTGATTTTAAAACCAAACCAGTCTAGCCATTTCACCCCTTTTCACCCCACACATTAGTCCACAAAAAATCGGCCCTGTTATTTGAACAACTCTTGATCCCCATTGGCTATAAGCATGCTACAGCTACATTTTGGTTGAAAACCTGCTCAGTAGTTTGGGAGGTGTAATTTTATGCAATTCAGCCCATTTGACCTTTCACCCTGCCTCTCAGCTAGCCTACAGGAGGATCAGCCTCTTTATTTCTATAACTTCTTCATCCCAACGGGCTAAGCACGCTGCCATACCGAGACAGAGGGGCTAAGCATGCTGCCATACCGAGACAGAGAGGCTAAGCACGCTGCCATACCGAGACAGAGGGGCTAAGCACGCTGCCGTACCGAGACTGAGAGATGGGGTTATTTCTGTCCCTACGAAGCAGTGAACCTCTCCGCCCGGTGCACAGTGTGAACTCTTATTTCTACCACAACCACTGTGGTTCCTCACTCATGACTCATTGGATAAACCCGCTAGGAGTTGGTAAACAGGTTTTGTTACCCACTGGTCTTTGATTTATGTCATTTTCCATTGTGATGTAATGCAGCAATTGTTTCCCCCATCAGAAACACACATGATGTATTTTTCAAGTGAAACATGTGTGTGTGTGGGGGGGGGGGGTTCAGATAAAAAAAACGAACTTTATGGGAGAAACAGGTCCCCAAACTCATCTAATTCTCGTTAGTTAATTTTCAAATTGTAAAAGACACTCTGTAAACCTTGTGTCTTTATACAATTTGAAGATTAACGAACATGATAACCAACCATCACCCGTTGGGGAACCTCCATGTTACCATTTGTGATGACCTCTCTTTAAATGATTTCCTTTTGTTTTCTCCCCATAGCGTTTGTTTGGGTCTCCAGCTCTGCTGCCTTCTGTACTTGATAACTGGTTTCTACATAATTTTATTGAATCAACTTAATTCTATGCCCTGTCATTCCTTTTCATTCTCATGTAACCTCTACTAAATTTCTTTTCCAATACACTTGCTGTCTTAATCCATTGCTATCCATTGTCTCATCATCTCTACCTATCAATTTGTCATCTCTACATGTATATTGTCATGCCAAAAAACAATCTGATCCTCTCTATTTTCTTGTTTAAGCTATTCATCATCTTACTTTTACCAATTGTTTCATCATCTCGTCAAAATGTCTCATCTCCCCCATTATCTCATCATCTCTATCCATTGTTACATCATCTCTCCCAATTGTTACATCATCTCTCCTCATTGTTACATCATCTCTCCCCATTGTCTCATCATCTCTCCCCATTGTTACATCATCTCTCCCCATTGTCTCATCATCTCTCCCCATTATCTCATCATCTCTCACCATTGTTACATCATATCTCCCCATTGTTACATCATCTCTCCCCATTGTCTCATCATCTCTCCCCATTCTCTCATCATCTCTCCCTATTATCTCATCATCTCTCCACATTGTTACATCATATCTTCTTATTGTTACATCTTCCCTCCCCATTGTTACATCATCTCTCCCCATAGTCTCATCATCTCTCCACATTGTCTCATCATCTCTCCCCATTATCTCATCATCTCTCACCATTGTTACATCATATCTCCCCATTGTTACATCATTTCTCCCCATTGTTACATAATCTCTCCCCATTGTCTCATCATCTCTCACCGTTGTCTCATCATCTCTCCCCATTGTTACATTATCTCTCCTCATTGTTACATTATCTCTCCTCATTGTTACATCATCACTCCCCATTGTTACATCATATCTCCCCATTGTTACATCATTTCTCCCCATCGTTACATAATCTCTCCCCATTGTCTCATCATCTCTCACCGTTGTCTCACCATCTCTCCCCATTGTTACATCATCTGTCCCCATTGTCTCATCATCTCTCCCCATTGTCTTATCATCTCTCCCCATTATCTCATCATATCTCCCAATTATCTCATCATCTCTCCCAATTGTTATATCATCTCTCCCCATTATCTCATCATCTCTCCCCATTGTCTCATCATCTCTTCCCATTGTCTCATCATCTCTCCCCATTGTCTCATCATATCTCCCCATTATTTCATCATCTCTCCCCATTATTTCATCATCTCTCCCCATTGTCTCATCATCTCTCCCCATTGTCTCACCATCTCTCACCATCTCTCACTACTGTTCCATCATCTCTCACCATTGTCTCATCATCTCTCCCCATTGTCTCATCATCTCTCACCATCTCTCACTATTGTTCCATCATCTCTCCCCATTGTCTCATCATCTCTCACTATTGTTCCATCATCTTTCACCATTGTCTCATCATCTCTCCTTATTGTTACATTATCTCTCCCCATCGTTACATAGTCTCTCCCCATTATCTCATCATCTCTCTACATTGTCTCATCATCTCTCGTTATCTCATTATCTCTACCCATTGTTACATCATCTCTCCCCATTGTCTCATCATCTCTCCCCATTGTCTCAACATCTCTCCCCATTATCTTTTCATCTCACGTTATCTCATTATCTCTCCCCATTGTTATATCATCTCTCCCCATTTTCTCATCATCTCTCCCTATTGTCTTATCATCTCTCCCCATTATCTCATCATATATCCCCATTATCTCATCATCTCTCCCCATTATCTCATCATCATTCCCCATTATCTCATCATCTCTCCCCATTGTCTCATCATCTCTCCCCATTGTTACATTATCTCTCCCCATTGTCTCATCATCTCTCCCCATTGTCTTATCATCTCTCCCCATTATTTCATCATCTCTCCCCATTATCTCATCATCTCTCCCCTTTATTTCATCATCTCCCCATTATCTCATCATCTCTCCCCATTATCTCTCCCCATTGTCTCATCATCTCTACCCATTGTCTCATCATCTCTCCCCATTGTCTCATCATATCTCCCCATTATCTCATCATCTCTCCCCATTATCTCTCCCCATTGTCTCATCATCTCTCCCCATTGTCACACATTTCTCCCCATTGTCTCATCATCTCTACCCATTGTTACATCATCTCTCCCCCATTGTCTCATCATATCTATCCATTGTTACATAATCTCTCCCCATTGTTATATCATCTCTCCCCATTGTCACATCATCTCTCCCCATTATCTCATCATCTCTCCCCATTATCTCATCATCTCTCCCCATTGTCTTATCATTTCTCCCCATTGTCTCATCATCTCTACCCATTGTTACATCATCTCTCCCCATTATCTCATCATATCTCCCCATTATCTCATCATCACTCCCCATTATCTCATCATCTCTATCCATTGTTACATCATCTCTCCCCATTGTCTCATCATCTCATCATATCTATCCATTGTTACATCATATCTCCCCATTGTTACAAAATCTCTCCCTATTGCTACATCATCTCTATCCATTGTTACATCATCTCTCCCCATTGTCTCATCATCACATCATCTCTCCCCATTGCTACATCATCTCTCCCCATTGTTACATCGCCTCTCCTCATTATCTCATCATCTCTCCCCATTGTCTCATCATCTCTCCCCATTGTTATATCATCTCTCCCCATTGTCACATCATCTCTCCCCATTGTCTTATCATTTCTCCCCATTGTCTTATCATCTCTCCCCATTGTCACATCATCTCTCCCCATTGTTACATTATCTCTCCCCATCGTCTCATCATCTCTCCCCATTGTCACATCATCTCTCCCCATTGTCACATCATCTCTCCCCATTATCTCATCATCTCTCCCCATTGTCTTATCATTTCTCCCCATTGTCTCATCATCTCTCCCCATTGTTACATCATCTCTCCCCATTATCTCATCATATCTCCCCATTATCTCATCATCGCTCCCCATTGTCTCATCATCTCTCCCCATTATCTCATCATTTCTATCCATTGTTACATCATCTCTCCCCATTGTCTCATCATCTCATCATATCTATCCATTGTTACATTATATCTCCCCATTGTTACAAAATCTCTCCCCATTGCTACATCATCTCTCCCCATTGTTACATCGCCTCTCCCCATTATCTCATCATCTCTCCCCATTGTCTCATCATCTCTCCCCTTTGTTTCACATCTCTATCCATCGACATGTCCTTTCCACTAACTGTCCTGTGTTTACTATCCAGCATGTATTTCCCGTTACAAACACACCCTAACAAGACATCTTTCACTTTCTAACCATTGTACATGTTTACTTGTGTAAGAGAACAACAAAGACAGACATCTTGTTCCAGGAACATTTTATTTGCACATTTGCAGCACAAGGTAAATCAACACTGTAAGTACAATAAGGGAGACAACATCAGTGGGATATAACATGTATGCTGATTGGTCAGAGACTAGCTCAAATAACCAATCAAAGACTGGTCATATAAAGCATCTTTACAAATTAAATTTCTATATTGGAGTATGTTCATCCACACACTGATCAATTTGACGAACAACGATCTCCATTTTTGATGTACTTATTATAAAGCAGACAATTCTTACAGCTTGAGCTTATGTTTGATTTTACCTTCATAAACAACAGTAACAGTGGACAGTGTAGCAGCCGAGGAACACAAGAGGAATGACTGACCTACTGTCAGTGGACAGTGTAGCAGCCAAGGAACACGAGAGGAATGACTGACCTACTGTCAGTGAACAGTGTAGCAGCCAAGGAACACGAGAGGAATGACTGACCTACTGTCAGTGAACAGTGTAGCAGCCAAGGAACACGAGAGGAATGACTGACCTACTGTCAGTGGACAGTGTAGCAGCCGAGGAACACGAGAGGAATGACTGACCTACTGTCAGTGGACAGTGTAGCAGCCGAGGAACACGAGAGGAATGACTGACCTACTGTCAGTGGACAGTGTAGCAGCCGAGGAACACGAGAGGAATGACTGACCTACTGTCAGTGGACAGTGTAGCAGCCGAGGAACACGAGAGGAATGACTGACCTACTGTCAGTGGACAGTGTAGCAGCCGAGGAACACGAGAGGAATGACTGACCTACTGTCAGTGGACAGTGTAGCAGCCGAGGAACACGAGAGGAATGACTGACCTACTGTCAGTGGACAGTGTAGCAGCCGAGGAACACGAGAGGAATGACTGACCTACTGTCAGTGGACAGTGTAGCAGCCGAGGAACACGAGAGGAATGACTGACCTACTGTCAGTGGACAGTGTAGCAGCCGAGGAACACGAGAGGAATGACTGACCTACTGTCAGTGGACAGTGTAGCAGCCGAGGAACACGAGAGGAATGACTGACCTACTGTCAGTGGACAGTGTAGCAGCCAAGGAACACGAGAGGAATGACTGACCTACGGTCAAGCAAGCTTTCCAAGCGATGCTGTATAACCCTGGGACACACTCTATATAGTTCAAATTTTTCATTTTTATTTTTATTTCCGAATGCAATACAGCATATACACAGTCAGTATAGGTTAATGTCTACACAGTCAGTATAGGTTAATGTCTACACAGTCAGTATAGGTTAATGTCTACACAGTCAGTGGTTGGATTGGTGTCCTCGTACACGTTACATTTGGTGGCCGCCAGTAAGATAGCATTCCCCCATACATTCCTTGGATGTTACACTACTTAACAGGACTACAGTGAACTGAAATTGTATTTTTCTTAATAATAACAAACTATTTCAATCAAAACAAGAAAACTAAAACATCTTGATGACTAGAAATCCACATCAACCGTATTACATCTCAAAATTAACAACAGCATCAACAAAATCGATAAAAAGCTCAGGATGTCAAACAGAATAGATCTGGGCACTTATATTACATCGCCAGGAAACATCAGGTAAGCAGAAGGGAGATAACTCTGGAAGAGTATGAGCCTTACATTTGTCAACATTGCAACAAAAGCAAACACATTGTTGTTCTTAGTATTCGCAGATGTATACTGTAGAGAGACATCCAACAATCTGTTAACAAACTGTATGCAGGCACCTTACATGTGAATATCTACTTATTGGTAGCTTCACAAAAGAGACCATGGAAGTGTTAAGACATACATACAATAAATACATGTAATGGCATACTTCTATACTGTGCCACAGGTCATCATTTTAAATTAAAACAATTTGGACAATTTTTAAATATCAATATATTCACCTATTTGAGAGAGAAGTTTCAATACATTTATCATTTTTACTATTCACTAAATCAATTTAGGCAAATCCTGCAGGGCTGAACATTTTACAATACACTAAATCAATTTAGGCAAATCCTGCAGGGCTGAACATTTTACAATACACTAAATCAATTTAGGCAAATCCTACAGAGCTGAACATTTTACAATACACTAAATCAATTTAGGCAAATCCTACAGAGCTGAACATTTTACATTTCAGTTGTACTACTACATTAGAATGCAAAAAGACAAAATTAACAAAATTTCCAAGGAAGATACATGTTCTTGTAATCTTTGCTTTTAGCACTTCATTGAAAATGTTACCATGTAAAGTTAGGCACCAAGCTCGACCTTTCTAACCTCGGGTTATAACAGAGACAGCTAGTTAACCAAGGTCTTGGTCTTTCCTTTCCTAAGGCCATACACATCCATTCTAGAGACTATAGACTTAAGAATTTTCTGGGTTATTCCTAAACATAAACACACTGAAAGTGTTTCCAGATTAACAAGGTTATACTACCTTATACATACAAGAATCCATATACAGATATATATCATAGTTATGTTGCAATTTTCAGATCTGGAAACAGATTATCATCCAGGCTTAAGTAGAAGTATTAGGATAACTGAACAAAATGGACAACAATTTCCTTCCACACTATAGTGGGGACATTTAACGTAAATGTAGCAGATAAAATGGAGGGATCATCTGGATAAAATGACTGAATTTCTCCAGGGCTAGTAAATAAATATCACAATGGCCTATTTCTAAAATAGGAATATAAATAAAAACAACCAAATACAAATTACAACTGTTAAAATTAATATAAATATTAGTTATTATGATACGGTGGTACATTGTATATATTGCACTTCTTGTGTAAACAACAACACTGGTAAACAGTTACTATGGCAACAGGATTCAAAAATGTGCACCAAGATATGGAGATAAAATCATAAAAGTGCAGTAAAAAGGCAGTGGAATACACACATAAACAGGAACCTATGTAAAGTATGTTTATTCTAGATTATAACAGGACAGCCTTAGAACACAGGCAGAGTAGGTGGTATAACATAATGAACCAATCAGGGGAAGGTAATCTCAGCAAATCACACTACACTCACTCACCAATATCAAGGTCTGCCTAACAACCAGTGAAAATAGAATCAATCAGGGGAAGGTAATCTCAGCAAATCACACTACACTCACTCACCAATATCAAGGTCTGACTAAACCACCAGTGAAAATAGAACCAATCAGGGGATCAAATCAGGTAACAATACTTCAAAACCGATATAGTAGAGATTGGTGTAGGGTTGATACACAGAACGGACAATACTAACTGTGAAACACTAAACACACATTAACACAGGGCAACTGTTATACCTACAGACCCAGAATCTCCAAACTATTCTTAGCTAATCAGTAAATCACCTTCTCACAACAGACGCTGGATGAAAATTTGATATTGTTGAAATTAATCTTAAAAATTGTAATACTTGATAATGAGCAATAAAATATGTTAACATGCATTGTTGTATTATATGGCAAACCAGAGACTGACAATATTTACTGCTAATACAGAGAGTTTGTGTTACACCATGTTTAACAGAATCATTGGTAAGTGGACATTATTTGCACATTTTGAGTGCATATTTTGGCATTCTGTAGCAAGAAATCAACTTAATGCATGACGATGTCACCTTGAAATTTTCTATTTTTATCCTGTATCCAATGTTCTAACCGCTCAGACCTCTCTTTACACAACAATGACACTTATCTCTATCAAACAAGAAAAATCAGCTCAGATTTATATTGATGCTTTCCAAAAGTTAGTCTTTGTCGTTGTGCTTTCTCTATCTACCATGCCAGTACTATTAAGTTATTTGATAACAGATAGTCAATGTATTTCCTAAAATTCTCTCCTGCTTGTATTGGACAAATATACAGAAACATTCCTTCTCTGGATATTTTATACACGCATATTATAAAGATGAATTGGGTGAGCAAAAGTATATCCCTCGACCATATTGGTATTCTTAAGATGGACTAAAAGAAACCTTTAGAAAAGTCATGTTAGAAAGACAAGTAATGTGAAACTGGAGCTTGATGTGAGGGTTGAATAATGACATGTAACACCACCCTAATATAATGATGGAGCTCGGTGTGAGGGATGAACAATGACACATAACACCACTCTAAATAGAGTGGTCTCCCTTGGTCCATGCAAATAAACAAATACAATATGAACCCCAGCCAGAGGAGTATTTACAAAAATCTTCTTTGAGGCATGTTATCAGACAAATACTGATACATAAAACACCAGGTCCTTCAGATATGTTTATGGGTGGGGATGGAGGAGGGCTATTTCAACATATATTTTGATTTTAAGCATTACTAATGTCACATCTGGACAAGTAACCCCTACAGGTATACCTGTAAACCTAACATCAGATATCAACCCTACAGTTATACCTGTAAACCTAACATCAGATACCAACCCTACATGTATAACCTAACATCAGATATTAACCCTACAGGTATACCTGTAAACCTAACATCAGATACCAACCCTTCAGGTATACCTGTAAACCTAACATCAGATACCAACCATACAGGTATACCTGTAAACCTAACATCAGATATCAACCCTACAGGTATACCTGTAAACCTAACATCAGATATCAACCCTACAGGTATACCTGTAAACCTAACATCAGATATCAACCCTACAGGTATACCTGTAAACCTAACATCAGATATCAACCCTACAGGTATACCTGTAAACCTAACATCAGATATCAACCCTACAGGTATACCTGTAAACCTAACATCAGATATCAACCCTACAGGTATACCTGTAAACCTAACATCAGATATCAACCCTACAGGTATACCTGTAAACCTAACATCAGATATCAACCCTACAGGTATACCTGTAAACCTAACATCAGATATCAACCCTACAGGTATACCTGTAAACCTAACATCAGATATCAACCCTACAGGTATACCTGTAAACCTAACATCAGATATCAACCCTACAGGTATACCTGTAAACCTAACATCAGATATCAACCCTACAGGTATACCTGTAAACCTAACATCAGATATCAACCCTACAGGTATACCTGTAAACCTAACATCAGATATCAACCCTACAGGTATACCTGTAAACCTAACATCAGATATCAACCCTACAGGTATACCTGTAAACCTAACATCAGATATCAACCCTACAGGTATACCTGTAAACCTAACATCAGATATCAACCCTACAGGTATACCTGTAAACCTAACATCAGATATCAACCCTACAGGTATACCTGTAAACCTAACATCAGATATCAACCCTACAGGTATACCTGTAAACCTAACATCAGATATCAACCCTACAGGTATACCTGTAAACCTAACATCAGATATCAACCCTACAGGTATACCTGTAAACCTAACATCAGATATCAACCCTACAGGTATACCTGTAAACCTAACATCAGATATCAACCCTACAGGTATACCTGTAAACCTAACATCAGATATCAACCCTACAGGTATACCTGTAAACCTAACATCAGATATCAACCCTACAGGTATACCTGTAAACCTAACATCAGATATCAACCCTACAGGTATACCTGTAAACCTAACATCAGATATCAACCCTACAGGTATACCTGTTAACCTAACATCAGATATCAACCCTACAGGTATAACCTAACATCAGATATCAACCCTACAGGTATACCTGTAAACTTAACATCAGATATCAACCTTACAGGTATACCTGTAAACCTAACATCAAATATCACTAAACAAAAGGCTCAAGTTTTCAGATGTTTTTCAAGGTTACAATATTCTACTCTTAATTACAAGATAAAACTTTGGCTTATTCTACCATCATCACAAACTTTAACTTTTACTTATTCTTACATTACCTAACTCAAACTAAAAAAAAATCATCAATAAAACAAGATGTATTACTTTTTTCAAATCAAAAGACTTACATTTGCTTATTTAGATCAACATTTGAATTGAAAACCAACCATTGTTTTCAAACCTTTAACAGAGTTGACAGCAAATAGATCTAAAAGTAATGTAATATAAACCCTATCAATCTCTCAATAAAAACTGTATCAAACTTCATGATAGATATGTGCATGATTGTCCTTTCAATAATTAAACTAGAATTAATCCTGGAGGAACATTAGAGGGAAATTTAGAATTTAAAAAGATGTACAATGTTATATCCTCAGATTTTTTTCAGCATAATTGTCCTTCATTTAGAATATAATCTATACTGTTTTATCTCTTCAGATATATATATGTCAGAATTTATTTTTCATTTCACAATTTTTTTTATTGAATATTGCATCTTATACAAATTTCAAAAGGAATTGGGCAACAGGCGTAATGCCTATACAAGCCCTCTCCTAAAGAATTTCTTTTTGTTTCCCAAAAGGAGATAGAGTAAAAGTTAGTTACTTCAAGCTAGGTGAGTACGTATATCTCAACTCAACTCAGAAGAGTCAATATACTAGCTTAAACTCATAGTCAATACTTTCAAACTAGACCTTTGGGCAATCATTACCCTGACAACTAAAACTCACGCGAGCAAATTCCCCTAATAAATCAAACGCCAACAAGCCAATCCCTTCTCCTCACTCAATCTCAATAAGTCAATACTCTTGATAACTCACACTCAAGGCAGTCAATACTCTTGATAACTCACACTCAAGGCAGTCAATACCTCCCAACTTATCTATGTGCATCTCTATACCTACATCAACTCTAACCCAAACTTCACTGGGTCAATACTCCTCTTAAATCAACACCTTAAACAGACAATTTTGTTCCTAATGGTAACAAATATTAATGATTTGCATTGCAAAACTTAAACACTTAGAAAGCTATTTCTCCTGAACCAAACAAGTTCAAGTTAGATTACTCTTACTCCAGAACCAGTTAATTTTATGTTGATATAACTATTTCTCCTGACCCAGACAGGTTTACATTAAGATACTTAAAATGTATATCTTGTTGTCCAAACAAGTTCAAGTAAACAGGAATGTTTTGTACTTTTTTAAGAGATTCATTTTCAAAGTATATTTTGAGGATAATAATTGAACACACAAGCATTTAATATTTACAAATGTAACAATGTTGCTTGATGCTTTGCCTTGACACCTGGTAACTCATACAAACAGGTAACAAGCCATGATGTTCGACCTTTGGTGTTCAGTGAACCATACTGTTTGACACCATATTGTATGTCCCTTGGTCTTGATAATAGTCCTGGCTGTCATCAACAGCAGCCTCCTCCCTCTGGCTCCCCTTCCATCACATGGAATGATTCTTTGGGACGGGAGAACCCATTCTTCACACCATCCCATCCCTCCTCCACTTTAATGGAACCATCTTGCAACTTCTGGTGAATATCACGGGCAAGACATTGAAATGCCTCCTCAACATTATGTCCTGAAAATGCTGATGTTTCAATGTAGCGGAGGCTATTGGTTTCTGCGTAAAGACGAGCCTCACGATGTGTGACCTGACGTTGGTCCTCCAAGTCAGCCTTCTGTCCTACAACCATATACACAGCCTCGTACGGCTCTATATGGGCACGCGCCTCCTTCAGCCAGCTATCAACGTTCTCATAGGATCGTCGCTTTGTTAAATCAAACACTATCAGTACACCAACGGAATTACGGTAGTAGGATCGAGTGATTGACCTGGAAAACATGTGGTAGAAACACTGAAATGTTAGTTCATCATGATCAGTATATATAGATAGCTGAATATGTCTATTTGTATATATAGATAGCTGAATATGTGTCTATTTGTATATATATAGATAGCTGAATGTGTGTCTATTTGTATATATATAGATAGCTGAATATGTGTCTACTTGTATATATATAGATAGCTGAATATGCGTCTATTTGTATATATATAGATAGCCGAATATGTGTCTATTTGTATATATAGATAGCTGAAGATGTGTCTATTTGTATATATAGATAGCTGAAGATGTGTCTATTTGTATATATAGATAGCCGAATATGTGTCTATTTGTATATATAAGTATATATAGATAGCTGAATATGTCTATTTGTATATGTAGATTGCTGAATATGTGTCTATTTGTATATACAGATAGCTGAATATGTGTCTATTTGCAATAAAACGTAAGTAATTGAATGTCCCAATACGCTTTAAATAGCTGAATATGTGTCTATTTGTATATACAGATAGCTGAATATGTGTCTATTTGCAATAAAACGTAAGTAATTGAATGTCCCAATACGCTTTAAATAGCTGAATATGTGTCTATTTGTACATATATAGATAGCTGAATATGTGTCTATCACTATATATAGATAGCTGAATATGTGTCTTTTTGTATATATATAGATAGCTGAATGTGTCAATTTGTATATATATAGATAGCTGAATATGCGTCTATTTGTATATATATAGATAGCCGAATATGTGTCTATTTGTATATATAGATAGCCGAATATGTGTCTATTTGTATATATATAGATATCTGAATATGTGTCTATTTGTATATACAGATAGCTGAATATGTGTCTATTTGTACATATATAGATAGCTGAATATGTGTCTTTTTGTATATATATAGATAGCTGAATGTGTGTATTTGTATATATATAGATAGCTGAGTATGTCTATTTGTATATATAGATAGCTGAAGATGTGTCTATTTGTATATATAGATAGCGGAATATGTGTCTATTTGTATATATAGATAGCCGAATATGTGTCTATTTGTATATATATGGATAGCTGAATATGTGTCTATTTGTATATATAAGTATATATAGATAGCTGAATATGTCTATTTGTATATATAGATAGCTGAAAATGTGTCTATCACTATATATAGATAGCTGAATATGTGTGTATTTGTATATATATAGATAGCTGAATTTGTCTATTTGTATATATATAGATAGCTGAATGTGGCAATTTGTATATATATAGATAGCTGAATGTGTCAATTTGTATATATATAGATAGCTGAATTTGTCTATTTGTATATATATAGATAGCTGAGTATGTCTATTTGTATATATAGATAGCTGAAAATGTGTCTATCACTATATATAGATAGCTGAATATGTGTGTATTTGTATATATATAGATAGCTGAGTATGTCTATTTGTATATATAGATAGCTGAATATGCGTCTATTTGTATATATATAGATAGCCGAATATGTGTCTATTTGTATATATAGATAGCTGAAGATGTGTCTATTTGTATATATAGATAGCGGAATATGTGTCTATTTGTATATATATGGATAGCTGAATATGTGTCTATTTGTGTATATATATAGATAGCTGAATATGCGTCTATTTGTATATATATAGATAGCTGAATATGTCTATTTGTATATATAGATAGCTGAAGATGTGTCTATTTGTATATATAGATAGCTGAAAATGTGTCTATCACTATATATAGATAGCTGAATATGTGTCTTTTTGTATATATATAGATAGCTGAATATGCGTCTATTTGTATATATATAGATAGCGGAATATGTGTCTATTTGTATATATAAGTATATATAGATAGCTGAATATGTCTATTTGTATATGTAGATTGCTGAATATGTGTCTATTTGTATATACAGATAGCTGAATATGTGTCTATTTGTGTATATATATAGATAGCTGAATATGTGCGTATTTGTATATATAGATAGCTGAATATGTGCGTATTTGTATATATAGATAGCTGAATATGCGTCTATTTGTATATATATAGATAGCGGAATATGTGTCTATTTGTATATATATAGATAGCTGAATATGTGTCTATTTGCAATAAAACGTAAGTAATTGAATGTCCCAATACGCTTTAAATAGGAATTTTTTTTATAATGTCTAATCATGATATCCGATATATGTCATCATCACTTTTTCCACATGTACATAAGGCATACAATATGATAAAAAAAAATAGTATTATCACAACAATTTTCCTGATAGAGGAGGGATATTGACATATGTCGGGTATATTTAAAAGAATAAATTTTGACAGTTTATATAAAATTATGATATACTGTACAGAAATAAATGTGAACACATGACTGAACTACAGATTTGGATTACAGTCCAGTGCTGGATTACATCCTGACTACAGAATACTAGTCCAGTACTGGATTAACTCCTGACTACAGATTACTAGTGCAGTGCTGGATTAACTCCTGACTACAGATTACTAGTCCAGTGCTGGATTAACTCCTGATTACAGATTACTAGTACAGTGCTGGATTAACTCCTGACTACAGATTATATTCCAGTGCTGGATTAACTCCTTACTACAGATTACTAAACCAGTGCAGGATTAACCTCTGACCAATGTAACATGTAAACAGACATTCGTTATTGGTCTGCTAACCTAGGTATTAAACATCTGACGTTCTGTGCCACTAAAACAGGAGAGTTGCAGAATCGTGATGTCATAGATGCCCTGTTTAAAGCCCACTCAAATATCGATATCATGGTTTAGCAGTTTAGGCCGGGGCCATCTTGAATAAATTATTCAGCGTTTGAATGAACATCGAGAGCCATGTTTGTCCTCGATCAGATGATTTTATGTCCATACCTGAACCTCTCCTGTCCCGCCGTGTCCCAGAGTTGTAGTTTTACCCGGACGCCTTGCTCAACCTCCAACAGACGGGCGTAGAAATCCACGCCTACGGTCGGGTCGCAAACCTCCGAGAATTTACCATCTGTGAAATATTTCAGTAATGACGATTTTCCCACAGTACTGTCACCTATCAAGATCAGCCTGAACTGGTAGTCGAAAATTGGCTCAACCATATTTTCCGTCAACGATGCTGTGCATATCAGATTAAGTCGTATTTTATCTTACTGCGTTTGACATTCTACATCAGACATGTGTTCCATCTTCGCTTCCTGTTTTGATCATGTGGTTAGACTAATATGTTTCAACTATTTTCATTGGTTGAAAGATGTAGCTCAATCCGTAAATTCAGCCAATCACGGATATCGTTACAATATGACGTCCATATTAGGCCAAGACAATATATTTATAATTTTCACATGTTAAAATTATTTTTCGGCGCAACAGGTCGCGGTACGTATGGAAATCCTAATACTCTATTTAGTTCTTCTTCTTCTTCTTTAGGTTATCAGTAGTCCTTCAATGATCTGAAGATTATTTACTGTTTTGCGCAGCGTGGACTATATATTAATCAAGAATACCAACAATTTTGAAAATGAATTTGGAATGCATAAATTTTAAATTGTGATTAAAACTATGTACATAGGCTTATAAAAAATAAATGAATTTATGGAGAACAGCTGGTCTGAGCTGTTTTCTGAAAGTGTCGACTGTGTGACAGTGACTGTATGGATTGGTAATACATTCCATTGAGTTATGGTATAAGGAAAAAATGAAAATTTATGGCTTTTTTGGTTGAAATGTGTCTGAAAGTGAAATTAAGATTTTTTCGGGTTTTACTGTCTGATGGTATGAGAATAGCAGATGGGATTGCTACAATTTGATGGACTCTTTTGTAGAACATTATTAATCTTGTGCGTATTCTTCTTTCTTGTAGTGTTGGCCAGTTTAATGAATTTATCATATCTGAGGGACTACTGATGTTATGGTACCTGTTACAGACATATCTGGCAGCTCGTCGTTGGACCATCTCGATTTTAGAAGTTTGTTCAACTGTGTGAGGGTCCCATACTGTACATGAATATTCCAGTTTTGGTCGAACTAGCGCTAGATATGCCCGAGTCTTGATGTTCTGACATGATGTTTTTAAATTTCTTTTTAGGAAGCCTAAAGATTGCCCAATCTTATCAGATTAAAATAACTGTCAGAAAAAGTATCGTCGTTATACTGTAACTTTATTGGCCCTGGGGGTCACCGGTAGAATCATAGTTCAGGGTATTTGCCGCCGAAAGTCAGAAGAAAGAACTTTTTGAGGAGGGATGACTTGCACACTTATAGGCGTCACAATACAGAACAATTAAAGGCATGTGCAGATTTCAAGATAATTGATAGGGAGTTATATATCTTACTTACTTACTTAGTTGATTCTTAATGCAGGCCGTTAGGCCTCTATACTCAGATCCAGTTCCTGTCTCTTTACTGCTATATTTGTATGGTCACTTTTGGTTGATGTGATACTTGTGTCAGTAGCTAAACTGTACATCCTGTCTTCCGCTTTCCAGAACTATAACTAATTTAGGGTGGTCGCGTGGCGCAAAGGATAGCGCACTTGCCTTTCACTAATTAGGGCAGCCGGGGTTCTATTCCCCGATCGGACGTGCAAAGGTATGTGGTTACCTGCCCGACCGCATGGGTTTTCTCCGGGTACTCCGGTTTTCTCCCACATTAAGGCCCCATGCGCGCTAACATCCGGCCAACAAGAGTGATAAGTAAAGTTGTAAACTTGTTTCATAATTTTTTGAAAATAAACAACTGTCTTCTTCCTAATGTCTTCATTGACAATGCCTCACACTTTTGGTCTTTAGTTGAGCGTTCGCCCCTGTGAGGAAGGCTTTGGGTTCTGCCCCACCTGGCCGAGACATACCAAAGTCTGTAAAAATGGCAGCAATTTAGGAGTGGGACGACTGGTTCTATCACAAGGAGACAAACACGAACATATCGCAGCCTCCCAAAACACACACGCATACACTACACGCATGCATCTTGCACACAGGGGAGGCCGTCCTTAAATGACCATAGCTGTTGATAGGACGTTAAAAAATAATGCTGTTTTATATAAAGAAAGGATTTATTATGAAAGTAAGTCTTTTAGTATAAAAGTAATAACAAGGCTTTGTAGATTTGACAAGGCTTTGTAGATCAATGTACAGGTGTATCTATACTATTTGTATGTATTGTGTTTGTAAATGAGACCGCTACATACATGTGCCAGATAAATTAACAAACTATAATAACTACAAGAGTGAGACATGTAGGATCGTACAGGTCCTGACTGAAATTAAGGAAACTAATTAGTAAGCGGATTGTGGAGGCGTGACTCCATTCAAAACTCCAGAAGGTTACCATCGTGAAGTGTTCCGTACCGACCAGCTCGGCTGAATAAGAAGATCACTTATATATTTCCATGGAGAGAGACTGTCCTTCAATAAACATCTACAGACTGTACTGGAAAAGTCATTGAAGACAGACGTCATGTACAATTAATTTGAGACATCCTGGACCAGACAATAAACAACAATACAATTGATTCGACATGACTGGTTTATTTGGGGTAGTGTGGAATCAAACGGAAACACCCAGTGAATACATGATAAGATATATCGTCAAGTATCAAAAGACTTTATTGTCAAACTTGGAGAGGAATCCAACTGCTACCTCTTACATGCACGGTCCACAAAGTTTGCGCACTTCAGGTCAACAGTGGATGCCGAGGCGGGGTAGGTACGGATATGATTTCGCTACACTGAAACAGTAAATAGAAAAGAGTTTAGGGAACTCGGTTGCATTTAAGAACCGAATAACGAATGTTCAAATGTTTGGCTGGTCACCTTTCACAGCAAAGTTGACCGCATGCGAATATGTCTCCAGTATCCTGTGATTTTGTTGCTGTTGATTTTACGGACGACACTGGATGCTCTCTTACTCTGCATAATATGTATAGACAGAGGACCTTTGTGTCATTGCAGGAACTACCAGAGAAGATACGAGGAAGACAAAAGTTTGATAAACAATGCCAACTAGACCATTAATTGAGGGGATCAACAACTTACCTCAGAAGCATCGTAGCTAGAGGAACAAATTAAGACTGGGGTGAATTGTCAAACAATAACGTACGTGAACATAGTTCCAGCAACTAGATTACCAGCTAAAGGTCGTTACCTGTCTTTGTCCGGATATTTTGTATAAGGTGGCCAGAGTGAGTTTCCAACCGGCACCTGTACATGTGGCGACGGATCAACTGACAACCAATATATGGTATACCACCAAGGTACGGAAATGGCGATGGGTTGGTTACACTCTCAGAACAAACCAGCGCACCTCTTACACGTGATTGGAACTTCCACGGACGAAGGAAGACAGGACGACCAGCAGCGACATTGTGTAAGATCATTGACATGAAACTCAAGACCTGAATATGCCTTTGGGGAAACAAATAAGGCAGCCCAAGACTGATGAAAATAGAGATCTGTAGTCCCAATCGGAATGAAGAGAATAAACTGTCGGATAAGTGTGACAGAGGAACGAAGTGGGGGATTTGTTTGTAGCAGCCACTAAATATGAGGGACATTTTCAAATTAACTCTTGGATGCGCTATAGCTGACATACAAAAAGACAACATTTCAGAGCTACCTTACTGTATTAGGTATCGACTATCACGTGACCTAGCGTTGAATTAAACAGTCATCCAGATTGTTTCTAATAGGTTTGGCACGTGATCTTCAATTCGTACAAGGGCATGATGCTCACGTACTGAAGGTGTTAATGTGGATGCGGGGCTGATATCTCATCGATCCTGATCAGACCCCAATCCTCTTACCGATACAATAGACAGGGCGGCATCGTCAGCTTTATATGTATGTAACGCAAAAACATCAGCACGCAGCACGACTTATTCTAAAATAAATTCAAAATGTCAATAAAAGTATCAATTAAAAAAAAATGCATCTGGAAGACATTAACAAAAATATGTAGGAATCAGTGTCAAGTTGATATACTTACATACAGATGATTTAGAGGTACCGAGATGGAACCATAATCAATACATCATTATCACCGTTAGTATCACAACTGGCCTACTCGGAATGTTGGGTGGGATTGTTTTGATGTCTAGATGGGTTGAACCACAGGGAAATATATGTTTAACTTTATAGCAATGATACCAAAATATGTAATGACTGCAGATTAGGATTCCATCGACATCTGTTAGTGTCTAACTCATCTGTAAATGTCTAACTCATCTGTTAGTGTCTAACTCGTGGAGTATGTTTGTATGGTAGCTCTTTTAAACGATACTTTGGGTGTTTGATGTTTCGTCTCAATAGATCTAGATCTAATACATTTCACTCAGATTAACAATGCACTTCAAAAACGCTCAGAATTTATCGGCACAGTAAGATAGCTACAGAGGATATCAACGAAAACAACCTGTAGTTGTCTCTACATGTATTTGTTTCTCCTCTACCCACTCACCAACTCTTATATTCCTTGGTGTGATACATCATTAAGGTCATACAAAACCAGACGGAATCAAAATATAAGTCACGAATCTAAGTAGGAGGAAATCAATGCCAAACACAGCGTAATTTGTTCCTACGTCGACCAGCACTTGTGTTGTAGGAAGTTCCTATTGGAGCCTTTCTCCTACTAGTTTGCTTTAACACTAACATCACTGGTATTGTTTGAAGGATTAAGTTTCACTTAACATCCTCTTGTGACATTTAAAGTTGGTAAAGAGCTAGGTGGCTGTGAAAGTATTGGCGGTTTGGAGGTTCAGCTGCAAGACTCACTATGAAAGTTGACCCGAGTCAAGGGGCCAGTCATGAGTGGGACTTCCGTGTGGTCAGTCTGAGGTGGGATCCCCCGTGGCAACCCCCCCGCAAACAGGTGGTGGAGGACAGACTGAAATTCGGCTGTCAGAGCTGTAGGCAGATCATGTTGGCTAGGAACACCAGTACCAAGGCGGATCACGTCTGCAGGAGGAATCGGGAACAGGTAAGATGTGGTGTAGGGATTCAGGTACCAGTAAAGATACCATATTCGAAGGTGAAGGTCAGTTCTTCATTCGAAAGTTCCTTTCCAAAAAATATATTGTTCCTCACTAGACTCGAAGGTTAAGGTTTCAATTTGTTCCAAGATGGTCAAAACCTTACACAAAGATGAAATAAGGTACCTCACTCAAAGATGAAGGTCAGTACTCCGATGAAGATGATCAGTTCCTCACTTGAAGTGAAGATTTAAATTTACCCAAAGGTCAAAACCTCACTCAAAGATGAATTTTAGCACTTCACTTGAAGAGAACTGTGGAAACCTCACCCAAAGGTGAAGGTCAGTATTCCCACAAAGGTTGCCAGTGCCTCACTCGAAGATGAAGGTTTAAATCTTCTCAAATGTGAAGGTCAAAAACTTACTCAAAGATGAAGGTCAGTATAACACTCGAAAGTGGGGGTCAGCTTCTTACTCAAAGGTGAGGATTAGTGCCTCACTCAACCGTAAAGGTCAGTACCATACTTTACAGTGATGGTCAACTTCTTACATGAAGGTAATGATCAGTTCCTCACTTAACACCATTACATATTCTACAAACATGTGTCCTGTTCTACAAACATGTGTCCTGTTCTACAAACATGTGTCTTGTTCTACAAACATGTGTCTTGTTCCACAAACATGTGTCCTGTTCTACAAACATGTGCCCTGTTCTACAAACATGTGTCTTGTTCTACAAACATGTGTCCTGTTCTACAAACATGTGTCTTGTTCTACAAACATGTGTCCTGTTCCACAAACATGTGTCTTGTTCCAGCGCTCCAAGGTACAAATCAGCTTCATTGGTTACTCATTATGAGGTAAAAGTCAGAAATTCCCCCTAAGGTAGAGGTTTGTAATTCTTTCAATTCACCCCAAGATAGACGTCAGAGACTCTCTCCGGGGTATAGGTCAGTAACTCACTCCAAGGTAGGGGTCAGTAACTCACTCCAAGGTAGAGGTCAGTAACTCACTCCAAGGTAGAGGTCAGTAACTCACTCCAAGGTAGAGGTCAGTAACTCACTCCAAGGTAGAGGTCAGTAACTCACTCCAAGGTAGAGGTCAGTAACTCACTCCAAGGTAGAGGTCAGTAACTCACTCCAAGGTAGAGGTCAGTAACTCACTCCAAGGTAGAGGTCAGTAACTCACTCCAAGGTAGAGGTCAGTAACTCACTCCAAGGTAGAGGTCAGTAACTCACTCCAAGGTAGAGGTCAGTAACTCACTCCAAGGTAGAGGTCAGTAACTCACTCCAAGGTAGAGGTCAGTAACTCACTCCAAGGTAGAGGTCAGTAACTCACTCCAAGGTAGAGGTCAGTAACTCACTCCAAGGTAGAGGTCAGTAACTCACTCCAAGGTAGAGGTCAGTAACTCACTCCAAGGTAGAGGTCAGTAACTCACTCCAAGGTAGAGGTCAGTAACTCACTCCAAGGTAGAGGTCAGTAACTCACTCCAAGGTAGAGGTCAGTAACTCACTCCAAGGTAGAGGTCAGTAACTCACTCCAAGGTAGAGGTCAGTAACTCACTCCAAGGTAGAGGTCAGTAACTCACTCCAAGGTAGAGGTCAGTAACTCACTCCAAGGTAGAGGTCAGTAACTCACTCCAAGGTAGAGGTCAGTAACTCACTCCAAGGTAGAGGTCAGTAACTCACTCCAAGGTAGAGGTCAGTAACTCACTCCAAGGTAGAGGTCAGTAACTCACTCCAAGGTAGAGGTCAGTAACTCACTCCAAGGTAGAGGTCAGTAACTCACTCCAAGGTAGAGGTCAGTAACTCACTCCAAGGTAGAGGTCAGTAACTCACTCCAAGGTAGAGGTCAGTAACTCACTCCAAGGTAGAGGTCAGTAACTCACTCCAAGGTAGAGGTCAGTAACTCACTCCAAGGTAGAGGTCAGTAACTCACTCCAAGGTAGAGGTCAGTAACTCACTCCAAGGTAGAGGTCAGTAACTCACTCCAAGGTAGAGGTCAGTAACTCACTCCAAGGTAGAGGTCAGTAACTCACTCCAAGGTAGAGGTCAGTAACTCACTCCAAGGTAGAGGTCAGTAACTCACTCCAAGGTAGAGGTCAGTAACTCACTCCAAGGTAGAGGTCAGTAACTCACTCCAAGGTAGAGGTCAGTAACTCACTCCAAGGTAGAGGTCAGTAACTCACTCCAAGGTAGAGGTCAGTAACTCACTCCAAGGTAGAGGTCAGTAACTCACTCCAAGGTAGAGGTCAGTAACTCACTCCAAGGTAGAGGTCAGTAACTCACTCCAAGGTAGAGGTCAGTAACTCACTCCAAGGTAGAGGTCAGTAACTCACTCCAAGGTAGAGGTCAGTAACTCACTCCAAGGTAGAGGTCAGTAACTCACTCCAAGGTAGAGGTCAGTAACTCACTCCAAGGTAGAGGTCAGTAACTCACTCCAAGGTAGAGGTCAGTAACTCACTCCAAGGTAGAGGTCAGTAACTCACTCCAAGGTAGAGGTCAGTAACTCACTCCAAGGTAGAGGTCAGTAACTCACTCCAAGGTAGAGGTCAGTAACTCACTCCAAGGTAGAGGTCAGTAACTCACTCCAAGGTAGAGGTCAGTAACTCACTCCAAGGTAGAGGTCAGTAACTCACTCCAAGGTAGAGGTCAGTAACTCACTCCAAGGTAGAGGTCAGTAACTCACTCCAAGGTAGAGGTCAGTAACTCACTCCAAGGTAGAGGTCAGTAACTCACTCCAAGGTAGAGGTCAGTAACTCACTCCAAGGTAGAGGTCAGTAACTCACTCCAAGGTAGAGGTCAGTAACTCACTCCAAGGTAGAGGTCAGTAACTCACTCCAAGGTAGAGGTCAGTAACTCACTCCAAGGTAGAGGTCAGTAACTCACTCCAAGGTAGAGGTCAGTAACTCACTCCAAGGTAGAGGTCAGTAACTCACTCCAAGGTAGAGGTCAGTAACTCACTCCAAGGTAGAGGTCAGTAACTCACTCCAAGGTAGAGGTCAGTAACTCACTCCAAGGTAGAGGTCAGTAACTCACTCCAAGGTAGAGGTCAGTAACTCACTCCAAGGTAGAGGTCAGTAACTCACTCCAAGGTAGAGGTCAGTAACTCACTCCAAGGTAGAGGTCAGTAACTCACTCCAAGGTAGAGGTCAGTAACTCACTCCAAGGTAGAGGTCAGTAACTCACTCCAAGGTAGAGGTCAGTAACTCACTCCAAGGTAGAGGTCAGTAACTCACTCCAAGGTAGAGGTCAGTAACTCACTCCAAGGTAGAGGTCAGTAACTCACTCCAAGGTAGAGGTCAGTAACTCACTCCAAGGTAGAGGTCAGTAACTCACTCCAAGGTAGAGGTCAGTAACTCACTCCAAGGTAGAGGTCAGTAACTCACTCCAAGGTAGAGGTCAGTAACTCACTCCAAGGTTACTTACCTGGTACTTGCACTCGTTAAATGATGAAATAACAACAATACACAAGATCAACCTATTAGATATAATCCTTTATTGACTAAGTAGCTGATATCACTGTACATATAGCTATATGTGGTAAATATGACTGTAGACACAGAAGTATGTAAAGATGGGACAGACATATACATGTAGTCAAACTATATAATTGTAATATATCCCTAGATAGGACAGAGACTGTGGTAACACTTCAGTGTAATATGTGACGGTGAGTCATACTTGCCGCCAACTATTCCTATTTTGTAGGGAGACTCCTAATTTTGGAGCCTTAAATCTAATATTCCCAAACAGTGACTTTGGAATACTATTCCTATATTCTAAGATCCAAGTTAAGTTGTTTTTTATTTAGAGGGATATATATGATATATACAAATTTTATTAATGCCTTTAATTTTGAGCTCATGGAATCTCCCTCATGGGTATTTTAAAACGTTGGCAAGTTTTTATATCTCTGGATTTGATCACACACATATTTTATAACATACATGGAGAATTACATAAAATAAAGAGCGAATGTAACAATATTTCAACATCAGGCCTAAGATACATGTGCAATACTTAAACCCTCAGACATATGATATATAGACATCTATCAAACCTCCAGATACATGGCGTATTTACTGAATGTTACACATAACAACCTGCCCTAGGTCAGTCAGTCAGTATTTCTAGACCTTTGTTAACATACACAGTATACTTGTGTGTTATCTCCCATAAGGAGGCTGATGTTTATTACCTTTAATACTGTACATTACTTACCTGGTATATTTTACGTACACTTGATTACAGACTGACCTGAATTCTGTAAGTAATATACAGTATAACACCACCTCCTTAGAACTACTCAAGTGTTGTCGATGTGACACTACATAAGTGTCATCAATTACTTACATAACCAGACAGAAAACATATGGTGGCTTCTTTGTGCATCTTGGCACCCACCATCATACCATCTTCATAAACTATATACAAGATAGTTTTTTTCCCTCGTCTGTTGGAATGTGTCATGTAAACAGTTAATGCACCTTATGGTAACTTCATACTGCTTTGTATGACATTGTTCTTTTAAAGTGAGGATCTTGTTTGACCTAATTACTAGCACTTTACTGCATCTGTAGCAAATGGAAACCTAAATTTGAAATCTGAGAAAGATCTATCTAGCACTTCTCTGGGAAAATGGTTACACACAGGAACTGTCAAAATCCAAGAAAGTGACCATTTTGTTTTTCTGATCAGCCACAAAATGAAACAGGCACAATAAGGACCTATGCAAATTAGCATACGGAATTGGATGGAAGGGTGATTTGGACTTAAAATATATAAAAAGAAGATGACATATTTTATATGTAAAACTGGGGTAAAGTCCTCATTACATTTATATAACATACCAGACACAATGCAATGGTCCCCATTAAATATACCAGATATATTGCATTTATCAAACAGGGTTAGAGTGGCTTGTAAGGAACATTATAAAGATGAGAAGCAAATAATTTTCTGTTGAAAATTATGAAATAATATTTAATAAGAATCAATGTATAAATTATTGATCTTGGAATATCTACAAAGACAGGATCCAGATCAATAAAACTGCATCTTATAAAGGGATAACAATTACACACTAAACCTACTGTTCACTTGGAGACAGGTATGCTGGCTAATCAGCCTCCTTGTGGTATTGATCATAAGGATCGTAGAAAAAAATTCTTACACAAGCTTGTAAGGGCATCAAGGAAGATTGAGTGCAGTTACTCCACAAGTTTGAGGTCACCTTTGAAAGTTATGTTGTCACACATTATGACATTATAATCCTATATCTAGTTTGGTTGATGATAACATTGCATGTGTTACACCTAGAAAAATATATATCATAGTTACACAATCAATATATCATTCAAAAATCATTGCAAACTGCAGTAATGTGTTTGGATATGTACTCAATCAATAGGACACAGCTTACAGGTATGTCTACAGCTTGTAACTGAACTCAGTCTCCCGGTGAGAGGTAAAACGTATGACAGAAATGTCGACCCAAGGGGTAATAAACCATTTAAGTGGGGTGACCGCAAGTTCATACCCTGAACAATGACAGAGAATTCATACCCTAGAGGATAACACAGAAACTTTAGATAGTTAAAATGGGAGACTGAATCGTGGGAGAAAGTAATATCAGCATGTTGATATTTAAAAAGTTTTAGTTAGTCATCCGAAAAATGTGTCGTTAACATATTTTGGCCAGCAAATATTAACCATGACTTAAGAATACATGTTACTATACAGTATGTTCCAACAGAGACAACCAGGAACTTAATTTTGTATACTGTTACATAGACACAAGGAAATTCAACCACATATCTCAGTACCTTGTCTAACCCTTTCACCACTGTACATGTAGACCATAATGGACTTGTCCAAATAAATGTATGGTCGAGTCTACTAAAGTTACCTAGGTGTGAAAGGGCTAAACACAGGGAGACTGCACCATATAGTAAACAGGACAAGGGACACTACCATGTATGGGTACTGTGGGCGCTATCAACACTCATTGGTAGGACGTTTTGTATACATTGGTAAAACAACAACAATGTAAGTAATAAATAGTCTCAAACAATTTGGCATGGCAACAGTAACAATAACATACTTAACAAAGAATAAAGTAACAGTGAATGTACCTAGATCATTAACAGCGCTAGATAGCGGATGTAACAGCATCAGAATCACACAATAGGAAGGTGAATGTACCTAGATCATTAACAGCGCTAGATAGCGGATGTAACAGCATCAGAATCACACAATAGGAAGGTGAATGTACCTAGATCATTAACAGCGCTAGATAGCGGATGTAACAGCATCAGAATCACACAATAGGAAGGTGAATGTACCTAGATCATTAACAGCGCTAGATAGCGGATGTAACAGCATCAGAATCACACAATAGGAAGGTGAATGTACCTAGATCATTAACAACGCTAGATAGCGGATGTAACAGCATCAGAAACACACAATAGGAAGGTGAATGTACCTAGATCATTAACAGCGCTAGATAGCGGATGTAACAGCATCAGAAACACACAATAGGAAGGTGAATGTACCTAGATCATTAACAGCGCTAGATAGCGGATGTAACAGCATCAGAAACACACAATAGGAAGGTGAAAGGTTTTTGTCTTCCTTGCCAAATCCATGTCACGTAAAAGTTAAGGAATCCATTTTTACAAACCAAGATAACAAATACATAAAAGTCAACAGATATAAAACATCTACAAACATAAAATGTTAGATATCAATATTAGAATGGTGGTCCAATATTACTGAATAAATACTCTAAAAACAGACATGAATTGTTCTATTATTTTGGTTCAATAAAATGCTTAACAATTTTTCCCTTTAAAGTTTATATAATGTTGAGGAATATCAAACATAACAGGTATATATATATATCATAAGCTATTTAATGTAGATAAACCATACATATAATTAGAGAAAAACATTTTTATAATTGCAACAGTCATCACAGATGAAATTAAACAAGGAAATAAGCATTGCTTAGTTAACTTCATTGTAAAGTGAAAACAGTTTCATTTTTACCTGTGTAATATTACAGAAGCGGTCCGGACAAGTTCTCTATGTTAAGGGGCAATAACTCCATAACACACAAATAGAACCAAAGTTTGAAAAACATATGTATGAATTAAAAGATAAACTACACTGTTAAAAATTACATTGCCTACTGATAAGTGCACAAAGTTTCACTGAAACCTATATGCAATGTTAGTTTAGGAGAAGTAGTGTAGACAAATCTTTATGTCTAGAGACAGATGGCCTGACCAACACCCTGAATCCAGTATATCCCCCTTAAGATCATTGTGCGGGTTAAAAAACTAATGCCTTAATTAAAACAATAAATATACAAAAATTGATATTTAAATCCTGCTTTGTAATGTCAGAAAACATTAGTAGTGTTAAGAATATAGCAAGACTTCCAAATCAACAAATACAGGCATTATTGCATTTATCAAATAAAGCTTAATTCACAAGCTGTGTGTCATTTAAAAGTACATAAACTGTGTGTCCTTTAGTTAAAATTTGAAAATTGGCAATCTCAACACAACTGAAGCATAAAGTTATCCAGGTTTATTAGCAACTACCATCTGGTAGTTTTGAAATTTTGTGTCTGACAAAGCCCTACGAGGTGATGCAACTGGTTGACTTAGTACCGATAGTCAGTGAATAAACCTGGAGAACTTCACACTCTGGTGGTGTGGTGATTACTTATTTATTTTCTGTTTTGGTAATCACCCAGTATACTCCTTTATCTCTACACCAGACTCAGAGTGACTTGACCACCGGTAGACTCTTACTTGGTTTGTTGATGGCACTGTTATAAAGTTATATCTTATATAAACATGTTCATTAATATTCGCTTTGTGCTCTTTCGCCTCGGTTTTCATATCACAGATGGTAATTTCCAGGTTTAACAATAAATACTTGTAAACAGATTATAAGAGATAAAACATAAACAGGATTTCTAGTCTTGGATTTCAGCAACAACATCAATAATGCTTTAATAAAAGAAAAACACAGCAAATGAACTAAAACCACAATAAAATAGAGCTTTGATGTCACAGAATCACAGACGAAATGAAAGTTATTAAGGACACTTTGATAAATAAGTATGACGAATGCTCCTGGCAAATCTGTGTCAGTAACTTTGGTGTGATAGGGTCTGTGACAACAACGCTGTGTTAATGTGATTCAGTGTGCCTCACTCATTAGTAGTATACAAACCCGGCCTGAGACACCCTGTAATCAACAGCACATAAGTCAGTATCTTTGGTACACGTAATATACTAATAACGGAAGAGATCAGATTCATTGAAGCCATTTCAGATTTCAATACAGGTTGTGACATCAAACATCTCTTTGTTTATAACAGTATCTCCTATTTCAGTGATTAATGGGGTTGGAAAACAATGGCATATTGACAATAAACTTAATAAAGTTCATATTGCGGTATCAGTCATTTTCAACATCAAAATCTAAAACTACTATCATGGCTTATAAAAATACAATATCAAAATACAATATGCTGTAACCCAACCAGTAGCAACCACTTCCATCTAGTAGAACCAGAAGGTACAGGGATTGTACTTTTCTCTGTAGTTTGTATCTGATATGGAGAAGTTGATATGGCATCTTTTGAACTTGTTGTACTTAGAAATGCTACTTCACTACTACACAATATAAAAGATCTCGTGCTGAGGCTATTCTAACACTTACAACCAAATAGACCTACATCCCAACTAACAACCACATAGATCACACAGCTTACATGTTAGACTCGGGCCAGCTGTACATGGGTGGTATAAAACTATCATAGTCAGTGTTGTACTGTAGGGAACGTATGTAAGCCTCCTTGTCAGCAGGCTCAGGGTGGAGGTGGGCGTCCTTGTTCTTGTAGGCAAACTCCAGTAAACGAACAGCCATCTTGGTGGACACTTCAAGAATGTTAGACAAAGGAGGGTACACACGGCCTTCAGCAAGGTTCTCCTCGGTCACCATATCCGCCAGTAACTTTAGTACACACAAAGGTTCAAATAATAGTAAAATACTTTACAGTAAAATACTGGAACTTTACTTTTTCAATTCAGAATATGTTAGTTAACAGAGAGCTCTATAGGAATGTACATTACAAGAACAGAAATACAAGCTTTGTAAAACTGGCTATGGAATTTTAAGTTTTTATCATAGTTAGTAACCTTTCATGATAACTATGCAAGCCAAATTTGAATTCCATATCTATTGCTGCCATTCAAGGCAAATGGCCTGAAGAACTTCAGCTATTAAGTGGAAATCCATTTATTTTCTTTATGGTAACAGCTACCTCGACTTTCAGACCAAATGCAACCTCTTTTGGTGCTGGCTCACAGAAACTCAAGTTATTTTTAAGAATTCATGTATTTAAGAATGACAGACTAAGCAGGTATATACCAAACATACCTTAGCAGACTCTAGGAAGATTTCATCAGTGATGACTCTGATATCAGACGCGATGACAGCCAGGGCAACTCCTGGAAACACGTAGGCATTGTTTCCCTGTCCTGGACTGTACTTCTTACCACCATATGTCACCTCCTTAAATGGACTGCCACTGGCAAACACACAGCGACCCTGTCAAACAAAATCTTATGATAACAGTGCTGGAAAACTTCCCAACTTTAGCATTACACCTGAAAATGATCAAGTTAATTAGTAAACGCTAATCAGAAAATCATGACATATTTGATAACCAATGTTTATGATGTCGTAATCTGTGTGGTCAGTATACACTCTGTCTTACTGGTGTAAATATAAGGGAGATAACCAATGTTTACCACTGTGTGTTTATAGGCCTGTTCAGACATACTCTGTCTTACTGTTGTAAATATAAGGGAGATAACCAATGTTAACCTCTGTGTGTTAATAGGCCTGTTCAGACATACTGTCTTACTGGTGTAAATATAAGGGAGATAACCAATGTTTACCTCTGTGTGTTAATAGGCCTGTTCAGACATACTTTGTGTTACTGGTGTAAATACAAGGGAGATAACCAATGTTTATCACTGTGTTGATAGGCCTGTTCAGACATACTCTGTCTTACTGGTGTAAATATAAAGGAGATAACCAATGTTTACCTCTGTGTGTTAATAGGCCTGTTCAGACATACTCTGTCTTACTGGTGTAAATATAAGGGAGATAACCAATGTTTACCTCTGTGTGTTGATAGGCCTGTTCAGCTGTACATTCTGCCTTACTGGTAGGGTTGCTAAGAGCAAATATGATGGGCCTCTCATGGTTGGCAGCCATGTCTTTTAATACCTGCTCATTAAAAGCCCCTGGCACTGCTGCAGCTCCTGAAGAATAAGATGTAGTTATAATAGCATTCACATGTCAGATTGTGTCTTATTCATTCCTCATATTAAAGGGAAAGCATCACAATGAGTAACTCACATATTGATCACAAGATAAATCCAGTAAGCTGAGTGCCAGTAACCGATATAGATGTATGTAGGTAGTATTTTTTTATGACAATCAAACCATTCCTTGGAGCACTACTACATGGAGACAATTTACGTGAACTGTTAAATGACAACTTACATGGTAGTTCTGGTTTGAATATTGTATTTCTAAAAGTATAATTAATTACCCGTATTCCTCTTATACAAAGTATGGAATACTTGTAATAAGTCAACAGAACACCACCCTGTTGTTGGAAACCAGAATATCAAAGGGGCCTGATCATAACAACACAAGCTAATGATGCTAGGTTAAGCAATAACCATGAACAATAACCCCCAGTAAGACCAACAAGACATTGTCCCATCAGATATGTTACATGTCCTGGATCTTGGATACAATTCTATTTAAATCCAAAACTAGTTTTCCATTGCTATACCTAGTACTTGGGAATTATATACCAATCGCTGCAATGTGACTTACAACTTTTGTGATAAATTAGCAAATCATGAAGCATTAATGATGACAGTAAGTTTATAACAAACGTGGTCAGTTTCAGATTGACAATAAGTTGTCCGAAATTTACCTATGATAGCTGTAGGCTTGATCTGTTTGACTACATCGCCGAGTTTGTCAATTGGTTTGGCGTCCTGGGCAAACATGACTTTCTCCCCAGTTACTCCTCCCGATGGCCGATTCTGTAACAACAGAGCAAATTTTGACACACCAATAAAAAAAAAATGTTATCTTCTATATTGCTTTAGAAAAGAATTTAAAATTTTGAACCTTTTTAAGATGCTTGTTTCCATAAGTATGAGTTATTGTATAGTTACCTTGACAATAAGGCCACGAGAATCGACCATCCAAATCTTCCCGAGAGCCTCAGCCTCTGACATTCTGGACTCCTTCATAGCCATCACCAGCAGCTTGGCGATCCCAATAGAGGCCTGTAAAGGAGAATGTTTATAGTAAACAATGGTACATGTCACAATGCTCAACCAGGATGTATAGTCATACCAAGATCTATGCTCCCCCCTACACAAACCTTTGGGTGAGATATGGCCTTAAAAGCTGTATTTCAGTACTTGAGGTTAGAATCAAATGTCAAATAGAGGATGTAACTGTTTTGTTATGCAATTGTGCTCTCTGATCATGCATCTAAATACCAAATAAAATGTCAATACAAAGTCATAAAACATTGGTGGAGATTTACTCTGGAAACTGGGATGAACAGATGCACGGGTGAAGACAACACTATTCAATACCCTAAACTACGTTTAAATTCACAATTCAAGCTATTCAAACATGTTTACCTCCCCTGCACCTTGGAAGAGGAACACATTCTGGCGAAGAGATTTCTTGGTAATTTTGAGACTAGCCAGTATACCAGCCACAGCAACAGCCGCTGTACCTGTAATCAACAACGTACTTTATCACAGAAATCACAGCTCATATTAAACCCCTTTTATAGAATAGGTATATATCTGCATTTCATATAAGGAAACAGATATCTTCCTGAAATAAAGGGTACAAGTTTGTAACATATCTTTTAACAGTTCCATCTACTGCATGTAGATTTGATAGTAACTCCATGTACAACACAACAAGGTATGTTAAGTTTACTCATTATCTCAGTCTAGCCGACTGCAGTTTCCGACTCACCTTGAATGTCGTCGTTAAATGTACAGTAACCTCTCCTGTATTTTTCCAGTAACCTGAAGGCGTTGTGATTACCAAAGTCCTCAAACTGTATCAGGGTGCTCGGACCATACCTGCAAAACAATCCAGTTTCTAAAACTAGTAACATGGGTATAAAATTCAAATGTCATTCTCTAAAATATGAAAGAGTTTCATCCTCATAAGTAAATATTCTAACGATGACAATTACATTTAATAGTATGAATAAGTAGACCATTACATTTGTAGTGTTTATAGTTTCTTACCTACCAACAACGGCCGTCATAAACTCATCAATAAACTCATCATATTTGGGCCCTGATTCCCGCTTCTGACGAAGACCAATGTACAGTGGGTCCTTCAGTAAAGTCTGGAAACAAAACAGATTTAATTAAGAGCTAAATGACACTGGTTTTGTGTCTAGGCACTAAGAGGTTAGAAATTCTCTCACTTTCAAGGTACAAATTCAGAATACCAGAAAGGTTGTCTTGGTGGAAACTTAGTTCACAAATAATGAAATGCTTTGTCTTTCTTCATCTACTGGTGAATATTTTCAGAAATATTTTGCATACAACTTAAACAATGATCCTGCACTTCAACCCATTACCATATTTATCTGGTGATAAGCCCATGGCTGTTCTAAGCAACCCAATATCTTTGACAGTTCAGAAAAGTTGCCAACAAATGTTATTCTATTGTCTTGCAATAAGCCTACCTCTTTACTCTTAGTCAGAGAATATGTGCTGCCCACCTTTTACGTTATAACTCTAATCTCACTCATTACTAAAGGTCTATAAGTTGTACACAATAACTCTAATCTCACTCATTACTAAAGGTTTATGAGTTGTACACTATAACTCTAATATCACTCATTACTAAATGTCTATAAGTTGTACACTATAAATCTAATCTCACTCATTACTAAAGGTCTATGAGTTGTACACTATAACTTCACTCATTACTAAAGGTCTATAAGTTGTACACAATAACTCTAATCTCACTCATTAATAAAGGTCTATAGGTGGTACACTATAACTCTAATCTCACTCATTAATAAAGGTCTATAGGTGGTACACTATAACTCTAATCTCACTCATTAATAAAGGTCTATAGGTGGTACACTATAACTCTAATCTCACTCATTAATAAAGGTCTATAGGTGGTACACTATAACTCTAATCTCACTCATTACTAAAGGTCTATGAGTTGTACACTATAACTCTAATCTCCCTCATTACTAAAGGTCTATGAGTTGTACAATATCACTCTAATCTCACTCATTACTAAAGGTCTATGAGTTGTACAATATCACTCTAATCTCACTCATTACTAAAGGTCTATGAGTTGTACACTATAACTCTAATCTCACTCATTACTAAAGGTCTATGAGTTGTACACTATAACTCTAATCTCACTCGTTACTAAAGGTCTATAAGTTGTACACTATAACTCTAATATCACTCATTACTAACGGTCTATAAGTTGTACACTATAAATCTAATCTCACTCATTACTAAAGGTCTATATGTTGTACACTATAACTCTAATCTCACTCATTACTAAATGTCTATAAATTATACACTATAACTCTAATCTCACTCATTACTAAATGTCTATAAATTATACACTATAACTCTAATCTCACTCATTACTACAGGTCTATAAGTTGTACACTATAACTCTAATATCACTCATTACTAAATGTCTATAAGTTGTACACTATAAATCTAATCTCACTCATTACTAAAGGTCCATAAGTTGTATACTATTACTATAATCTCACTCATTACTAAAGGTCTATACGTTATACACTATAACTCTATTTTATTACTAAAGGACTATAGATTATACACTATATTTATAATCTCACACAATACTAAAGGTCTATAAGTTGTACACTATAAATCTAATCTCACTCATTACTAAAGGTCCATAAGTTGTATACTATTACTATAATCTCACTCATTACTAAAGGTCTATAAATTATACACTATAACTCTAATCTCACTCATTACTAAATGTCTATAAATTATACACTATAACTCTAATCTCACTCATTACTACAGGTCTATAAGTTGTACACTATAACTCTAATATCACTCATTACTAACGGTCTATAAGTTGTACACTATAAATCTAATCTCACTCATTACTAAAGGTCTATATGTTGTACACTATAACTCTAATCTCACTCATTACTAAAGGTCTATGAGTTGTACAATATCACTCTAATCTCACTCATTACTAAAGGTCTATGAGTTGTACAATATCACTCTAATCTCACTCATTACTAAAGGTCTATGAGTTGTACACTATAACTTCACTCATTACTAAAGGTCTATAAGTTGTATACTATTACTATAATCTCACTCATTACTAAAGGTCTATAAGTTGTACACTATAAATCTAATCTCACTCATTACTAAAGGTCTATAAGTTGTATACTATTACTATAATCTCACTCATTACTAAAGGTCTATACGTTATACACTATAACTCTATTTTATTACTAAAGGTCTATAGATTATACACTATATTTATAATCTCACACAATACTAAAGGTCTATAAGTTGTACACTATAACTCTAATCTCACTCATTACTAAAGGTCTATGAGTTGTACACTATAACTCTAATCTCACTCATTACTAAAGGTCTATAAGTTGTACACTATAACTCTAATCTCACTCATTACTAAAGGTCTAT